AATTGGCCAAAACTATCTACTAATGGCCTCCACTGGAATTGCTGCCTTAAACATAGGCGGAACTACAATCCACTCTGCATTACGAATAATATCAGATGAAAGAGGATTTCACTCCCTTATATTTCGCGACACAAACTTCTATAATTCTCTTCTTCAAATTGATACTCTCATAATCGATGAAGTCTCGATGGTATCAGGTCCGTTACTAACATACATCTCTGAACTTTTCGAACGCCTACACAAAAATAACTACCCATTTGGAGGAATCAGTGTTATCTTAGTTGGTGACCTTGCCCAATTACCTCCCGTCAACGCACCTCCTGTGTATCAATCACCAATATGGAAAATTTTCTATCCATTATTTCTTCGTGATCCTCAAAGACAAAATGATGATACCCACTTCTACACTCTTTTACAAAAAATTAGATATGGTATCATAGACGATCAAGTTTGGAATGTATTATCACAAAAATTACTAGAAACCATCCAATCACCCCAACTAGATACAAATCTCAATACCACTCACATAGTAGGTTATCGCGAAACTGCCGAATTAATCAATAGAACAATTTGCACCTCAATCCCCACCCACGAAGATAAGGTCCTAATTTCTGACTGTGTCGATATCATAGACAATCAAATATGTCCTACCAATTCAAGATGTCGTGAATTCGCAAATAAAACAAATCTTCCTAGTACTATTAGAATTCAACCCGGAGCAAGAGTCATGTTTTTGAACAATTCCCAATACAGACACCGTATAGCCAACGGTACCGTAGGCATTGTAACAGATCTCAATTTACAAATTGGCCTGGTGTATGTCAGTTTCTGTGTTGAAGGAGCAATCATTAATACTTCGTTCACTAAATACACCCACAACTTTTACCTTAATGGCTTACCTGCCAGTCGCACACAATACCCCATACAAAATGCATTCGCTCTTACGGTACACAAAACACAAGGATTAACGATTCCTGATGTATCTCTAAACTTAGATAATCAAATCTTCGAGTATGGACAAGCCTACGTAGCATTAAGCCGCTGCACGAAATGGGAACATGTAAAAATCCAATCACTTGATCATGATGCATTTATTGTTGATCGATCAATGACCGATGAATATGAACGACTAGAATCCAAAGCACTTGAACCATTACCACTAAATAGATAAAAAAATGCATTCGCTTCACTAATACTTGCCTACATCTATCAAAATAATTTAGATTAATTATATTCACAATCACATCAAAAAATTTCTATGTACTATAAATAAATATATGTAATTCCCCGGTATAAATCTACATATCTATTTGATATGAACGACTTCATGTATTTCTTAAGAACCCATTACTGATATTAAAAATTAATAAAATAACCGTAATCATAATCGACCTCTAAAAAAAATTAACCCTGTACTTACTTCATCTTATTATATAACATAAGATTTTAATTCATTAACTCTTCTATCTCTAATATTTAAAATTTTATCCAAAATTTTAAGTTAATACATACCCGACTAACCAATTATAGTATCTTGATTTATTTCGATGTACCAGTATTGATCTTTTTACCGTCGTACAAAACAACCAAGTATGTACAAGTGTTGTAATTTGTACACAACTCGACGTATTTATATTTTTTACCGTCGTACAAAAATATTATATCACATGTCAAACTGAATTTCAAGACGTAAATCAACTTTTTCCCTTTAAAACTTTGATTATAAGTCGCCAACTCACCAACCAAAAAAATTCCTTACAAAATCTTAATACATTTAAGCCTTTATTCACATCTTAATAACAAAATTTACTACTTATATCTCTTCACTTAATTAATCTTTTTGATTTTCACATTACACTTAACCTTAAATACGATTTACATCACAAAAAATTTTTTGTAATTAACTGCTCTAACACCCCAATCAATCTAGCACAACTCAATACAGCTCATAATAATTATTTATCATTAAATAAACCTACAATACCATAACACCCACCAACACTAAACTTCGGCGGCGAAGCCGCCACATGATCAAGTTCTAGTTTACATAGTAAATTGCAACGGTGGCCCATTTTCGATCACTTATTTCAAGGGTTACATAAAAGGAAACTGCACTTGC